CATTTGACCAGTGACGGAAATTTTCGTTGTATTGTTCAACTTCTGTAAACAGCAGCTGCTATGCAGCCAGTAAGGAATGGGTGGCTAAACTTGCTCATACCTTCATAATGATATCGGCCTGCTTGAAAAAATGCAAATTTGTACGAATCTGCTCGGCCCCTGCTGCCAGTGCTGTTTGGTACGCTAACGCTCGGTCGCAGGCATCGTGAAGGCTTGATGTGCGAGCTGTTACACTAGCGTACGATGCACGCAGTTCTGCCATTGTCTGAAAATGTAATTTTAAAGTGTTAATCTCGTAGCATCAATGAGCTTGGAGAGCAGTAGTTCAGAATCTGTCACATGCATAAAGTAAGGAAAAACTCGTAAGGTGCTCCGAATGCTGCAAGAATGTTTTGCTGCCGTACGCTTGAAACGCTGACGCAAAGTATGAACGTTCTTTTACCGCCAGAATAGAAGAAGCGAAAATCAGTTCAGCACACAAATAGGTCGTCCCTACCGATATTTCTGATTTTTTTGTTTATTTCCATGGTGAAAACAATGAAGCTGGAACCAGGCCAGCTTCCAGACACAAGTTCGAATTCTTTTCGGTTCTCTCCATACATAGGTATAAATTAGAACATTAAGTGACTCAAACGAAACCCTGATTTGTTACCTTGGTGCAAACGCTCATTCGCTCTTTGAGGAGCCGTAATCGTTGCATATTTGCGCGGAGAGCTACAACCTCTGGTGCTTCCTGTTTCTCCACAAGTGGCAATTCCATGTTTCGAGCCTCTCGAACAGTAGAACATAGTGCACTAGCCAGTACTGAGTCACCGGTTACGCACGCCACTTCCTCTGAAACATTTCCTATTCGAGAAGTCATACAAACGAAGAAAATCAGTTTAGCACTCACCCTTATCAGCATAATCATCAGTTTCAGCCGGTAACCCATAAGCAGCAGCCTTGGCTGCCAGCAGTTCCACTGTCTTCAAATGAAGTTGTTCAAACTCCATTTGTCATGAAGAACCTAGCAATATGATGGCAAAGTACTGAAAATCCACGTTTACTGCACATAAGCACTGAGAAATAAGAGAAACGTTCACACGTTTTCAATTTACAAACCTAATGCAGATGAATTGATTATGTTCATTGAACTAATTCAATAACAATTCTCATATGAGATCAAAAACAGCTCCAAGTTTATCCGTTACATAACAACATCTGACAGACATATAACGTAGCATTATTACATCAAAGCGAATATACAAATCACAAAATTCAAGCGTAACTTTTACAAATTCTCTGGCAATGTTTCCAACTTAGAACAAGTCCACAGTGGTGGCGTTGAAAATTACACACTGCTGCTGAGACCTTTCTCAAAGGATTCTTCCTTTTTGGGGATTCTGATTCGTTCTATGGGTAACATAGCTTTTGAATAGGGTGCTTATTGATAGTGACTGAAATATGAGGTAGCCGC